AAATAAAGGCATGTTCTGTCCTTTATTTGTCCTTCTTGAGGTTTTCATTGTCTGAAACTTGGGCAAATACATATTGTCCCAGCACAGAGCAGAAAAGGCATGATTAAAAAAATACATCTTCTTCCTCTTAATGCAGCATGTTCAGTAGAAAAAGGATTACACAGGAAAGCCCAAATCTTGTTTATAAGAACTGTCACTTCTTTACAGAACAAGTTAAATGAGGAGTTTTTGAAACTCCCCCCCTTCTTTTCAAAATCTTAGGTTCCGATGGAATCCTGGAGGATATGCAGACCATGTAACTTGATGCTGTATGGGTCAAGGACAAATGTCCTTAGAAATTATCTCTCCTATTACATGTTGCTGGAGAAGATGCACTTGAGGTTTAGAGAAATTTTCAATCTACAAATCGTGAAAAGTTTTATATGATTTATGTTGACATTTTTTAAAAAATAAAATAAAAAGTTATACAATTTACTACCGGTGTAACTGTAAGAAAAAAAGAAAAAATTCAAAGAAAAAGCTAAAAGTGCAAGCAAGTTGGGGGGGGAAGGGGGAAAAATAGAAAAAAGATCCAAAAATGTGTCTTCCGATATTCTTCACAGCATTTCTAAGTTATATTACTGAATTATAATTATATATTACAATTATATTTGAATCTCTGACTCTAAAATTACATAATAGTGCTCTTCTCTCTATTATCCTGTCTAATCATCAAAGCCATAACTGACAAGTTCAATGAAATATTAATATTTCATGAATGCTGTGATGACAACACTTGAAAAGTCCTTCTTAGTAGGAAACAATGAGACATTTGGAAATCAAGGCATAGTAAAAGAGAGTGAAATTGTTGGGCACTAAGGGATTCTTACATCATAGAATCACATACTGTAATGCTTAACAGTTTTTTCCTACGAGATAATCTGAGACTTGAACTTCCATATCCTTGGAAGGAAGAATTTTATTTAATTCAGCACTGATCAATTTCCATCTTGAGTAGTGTGCCTTAATTCTGCACCAACAGGAAGGATTCAGACCTGCTCAGCAGTGGTGAGATTCATTTTTTTTTACTACCAGTTCTGTGGGCGTGGCTTGGTGGGCGTGGCAGGGGAAGGATACTGTAAAGTCTCCAGTCAGAGGTCATATTTGCATCTGATCATCATTCCCCTTAAGCTAGTGGCCTTGCAGAAAAGGCAATCTGCACAGTAAAAATACCACTTATGGATGAACAAAAAGATGGTAGTGGAAAATTGAAACAGCACAACTGTCTTACATACTTACCTATATTGTCTTACCATAGTGTACCTTGAGATAATATTTTGTTCCCCAGTGCAATTGTGAATATTCTTATTCATAAATATTAACAGTAGAGATTGGATATAAACATACAAAGGAAATGAACAAAAACAAGATTGTCCACAAACTAGCAAAGCTTAATTTAACATCTCAAGGAGCAGGTAGTCTCACTATGGCTAGGAGGGGTCTTTGCAGAAATTTACCCTGTGTACTGTTGGGAATGTAAGTCACCTAACAGCTATTTGGGTTGGAAATATATAAACCAGGATAGACATTTTAATACTGTATCTTTAAGAAAATGCAAAACTGTAATTGGGTGTAGTTTCTCAAATGGCCATAGGATGGAGCCAGAAACCTGGGTTGTCTTCGTCTTAGTCTCAGAAGAGAGTGTGTCTCAGTGAGTCTCTGTTTTCCTTCTGTTGGAGAGTTTTGCTGTTCCTCCATTTTTCCTAATTGACTGATATTCATGGATTTGATGAAGTCTGATACTGAACTGTTTTTGACACTGGACTTTGTTATTGGATTATCCCTGGATTGAAAACTGACTGATTTTACCTGTGAATGACTTTGGACTGCTTGTTTTTGAACTTTGCTTAAACCTTTCTGGAAGTAAAAACCTACATTTACTGTACAGTGTATCTGTGTACTGTGTGTGTATTATTCAAGCACTACTCTCAATACGTCTCCCTCTATGCGCTCATTCTCCTAACGGGGAATGTTACCAATTGTGCCATTTCTGGCTCAGGACGCCTTACAGCAATCTATGCTGTAGTTACCTCCAGATTGGATTACTATAACACACACTACATGCCTTGAAGAACATGTGGAAGATGTGGCTTGTCCAGAATATGGTATTAAGGGCAGTTTGGGATAACCCTCGACTGTGCAACCTTCGGTCTGCAAGCTGTGCCACTTCCTACTAGGTTTCTAGATGCAATTTAAGGGCTATCACCTATATAATTCTACATGGCACAGGGCCAGGTATTTTTGCTCATCCTACCAGAACCAGCAAAGTTTGCATGCTTCAGATCCATCTTTTCAGACAATGCCATCTTGTGAGATCTAGGAGTTGTGTCACTGTGCCTGCTCTGTGAGACAACATTCCCTCTCAGATTTGGCATCAAACCTACTGGTCTTTCATAAGCCATGAAAGACCTGGATGTTCTCACAAGCATTTTGGCTGGGTCAGTTCTTGTCTCAGTGACTGAAGTGAAACAATTTTTCTTTCAGCTCCAGCCATGTAGGATATTAAGCTTTCTCTATATACAGTTTATATTTTGTTCTTTTGGTTTTAATTTTTTTGTAAGACAACTAGAGTCACTGTGGTGAGAGATGGACAGCTATATAAATTGTTGAATGAAGGAATGAACATCACGGATACCAGATAATTAGATCAGAAGCTCATTACCACTGGATCCTCAGAAATAATTAAGAGATAACAAATATTGCTATGAAAAAAACCCCATTGGCACAATACACACAATTGTGACAAAATTAACTACAAGCATCTGGAAGCATCTGGCTGTAATTCTAGCTTTAAATCAACTTTCTAGCACTCAATGAAACAAATGGTAAACTTGTACAAAAGAGCTAGCGTACAAATCTAACAAGGATTTTGGAAAGCGCTGATGAGATGTCTCTGTAAAGGCCAGTTGCTCAGCCCTTCCTATAGTCCAACTCCAAATGGCCACAGAGGGAATGGGGTAAGCCCCAAGTGGTCTAAAATGGCTAATAGGAATTGGTCAGGGGCAGTCTCTGCCATGTCAGTCACCGAATGAAAACTCAAAGCTGTGGGAAAAAGAAATTCTTTGCTGGGATTATTGGAAAGGGGATTGACAATGGTCAATGCTGTCATGCCTACATTAAAAAAAAATCTATGGTATGTCCACAACTGGACTACTGCATTCAATTCTTATCATAACATTGGAGAAAAGATACAAGGCAAGGGCAACCAAGGAGATGGGGAAAGGGCTAAAGTGCTAGAACAGAAAAAAAGGAGAGGGAGGGAGAGAGAGAGAGAGATAACTGAGGTATAGCAAATAATGCATTATATGGAGAAAATAGTCATGGAAACTTTATTCTCCCTCTCTCAAAACCTTGGGAACATGGGTCATCTAATAAGGCTGAATGAAAAGAAGTTATAGACAAAAACCAAGCACTTCTTCACACTGTTCATGAACTAAGGAATTCATTACTATAAAGTACGGTGAGGGCTCTCAGCTTGGAGAACTTTAAAAAAGGAGTTGGAAAAAATCATGGCAGGCAGCTCTATCGACAGTGAGATTGAACTTGAGATTCTTGGCTATCTTCAGACTGGAGGCAGATTGCTTCAAGCCCCAGTTACAGAAACCATGACAGGAAAGGGATGTAACAGAAAAACAGAGTTGGGAGGGACTGCCCCCTGCTCAAGCAGTTGTGTGAAGAACAAAATGCTCGATTAAGGTGGAGCTTGGCCTGATTTATGCTGTTATGGGTTTTAATTCTAGAGTTACCGCTCTAAAATATTTTGAAAACATCAGGATGGATATGGCAGGTTTAGGATCTAGTTGATGAAAACTTAAATCATTATAAAAAAGATTGTAAGTCTAGTGCAAGAAAACAACATAATTACACCGTTTTCATGCAGCACCCACATACACAGAAATTATAGGTTTGAGCCTAAATGTGATAGTGACTAGAGTAGAGCATGCTGGGTTGAGAGAAAATAAAACCAATGTCACTCCTGGAGAAAGCATTTTATTTATTAATACAAGAATATAAATTCTGCAATAAATACAATCTAATAAATAACATCTGAAAATAAATAAATATTAATATAAACAAACTTAGAATAACAACCTGACAGGAGGAGGGAGTGGTGGGCAAAGATGGAGAGAACGGATGGTGGACGGGTCCACATGTGGGAAATTTCTCCTTTGCTAGTGACAGTGTAAACCACAGAGCTTCACCCATCCTGTTTTATGAACAGTGTAGACAAGCGGTGGCCACTACAGCTGGCTTAAACAATTATCCTAAGGTTAGGTCTGCACATGTGATGAATGAATGATCTTACCTAACCGGGGAGAGTAAGAAAGCTGAAAACCTATACGTGATTGTGCTAAACCAAGTCTCTCATCTCTGGTTCAGTTTGGACATATTTTACAACCTGACTGGAGAGATGCTTCCCATGTAAGTGCCTGATCACTGAATGTCCTTGGTAAGCTTCTAATTGGCACAGCCCCTTAAACAGAATGGGGAGAATACAGAGAAATCCGGCTACGGGGAGAGTGAAGTTTAAGGCAACTGGAGCATCAGCAGTGGGGGCTGCAACTATTGGCTGCCCTGCAGCCAGGGCTTAATTGTTCATCCTGGAGGTGGGAAGGGAAGCACTCTTCCTCTCCTTCTGGAAATTGAATGGCCCCTCTAGAAGAAGAGAGAAAGAGAGAGAAAGAGAAAGGGAGGAGGAGGAGGAGGAAATATTAATTTTACACAAGGTGGAGAAGGAAGAGATGTGAAGAAACAGGCTGTATAGAGTGTATCTGCTCACCCAGAGGCACAGCTTAGTAGCAGAGAGCAGTGCAGCACCAAAAAAAGCACGGGAGGAGGAAGAGGAGGAGGGCAATTTTGAGGAGGAACTGGGAGAAGGCAGTGGGTTTAGAGTCTTTCAGAAGTGCTAGTCCTTGAATGGCAGGTCTGAATGATGTCAGTGAATGAGGTGAAGGCAGGAATCAAAAGCCTCTGGTTTCCAGATGCAGCATAACAGCGGAAGGAGGCACCCTTTTGCGCAGTCGGTTGAAGTCTTTGGCTGAGCGCCACAGCCAGGTCTGTAGCTCTTTGAGCAGCCAGAAGTCATCCATCTTGCGCAGGAAGTGGCTGGGTGGGGTAATCTCTAGAGGGGGCCCTGGAGTTGGGAGTGAATAACCCAGGGAAGCCATGATGCCTGCGATCGAGCCCAGCAGCCCTTGCAGGCTAGCCCGAAAGTGGGTGAGGCTGTGGCGCAGACTCGGCACTGCAGTTGGAGCTGTGCCATCCATGGTCCTCAGGTAGCAGAGCAGGTGGCTGTAGGCCTGGTAATTAGCCGCTAGCCGGGCATTGTCATTCAAGCTGTGCCATTCCTGAATGTCTACGGTGGCACTTGGCACAGCTTCTACCCCAATTATCCGGGGAGGGTCAAAGTCCGGCTCATTGAAAGGTGGCCCCAGGTAGTTGAGCTGAGGAGAAAAGACAAGAAAGTGTTAAACTCACTTGAACAGGAATACCTACTTTCCTAGTACTTTCCACCCACTGCCTCTTATGAATGCTTCCTCTCTCTCTTACAGGCAAGACAAGGAAATGTAAGTCTATGGCAGGGGTCTTCAAACTTGAAAGCTTTAAGACTTGTGGACTTCAGCTCCCAGAATTCCTCCTCCAGTCATGTTAGCTCCAGAATTCTTGAATTGAAGCCCACAAGTCTTAAACTTGCCCAAGTCTGAAGACCCTTGGTCTATATGGGATCACAGGACATGTGTCCACTTGCACTTAACCATAAAACAAACAATATCATTTTTCTGCTGTGACCCACCCTCCTAATGTTGCTTCATTTGATCTCCAGTCCACTAGTGGGAAAGCTGCCATTTTTTAAGTTGTTCTCGTGTCCTGCTTATTTTAACAGTCTCAAGCTGTGCAAAAGCTGTCACGCCTTCCATGAGCTGGAAGGAAAACAAGTGACTTGGTAGTGGCCAGGAATACAGATAAGAGAAACTGAATATACGTCAGTGGTGCGAGAAACTGGTAAGAGTTTCTGCTAATGGAAGGATGGATAAGACCTTAGCTTGGTTGTAGGAAAGATCATTTGCAGTACACGTAGTCCTGATAACTACAATCGGGACCAGAATTTCAGTGCCTAAACCAGGCAATTGTTAAGTGAGTTATGCCCAATTTTATAATCTTTTTGCTACAGTTTGTGATCGTAAGTCAAGGACTACCTGTACACAGTGCTACATGCAAGGGAACATATTTCTGTACACTGCTGTTGCCCAACTCTGCCTGCTGACCAACCCATCCCTGGGCATGGGCAAAGTGTCCCTGGATCCACTGATTTGCAAAGACCTCGCTGTTATCTGTTGCACTTCTTGCACTTCCATGCTGCCACTGCAGTTCATAAGTTTCTATCATTGAAAGATCCTTGCTTCCCGGCTGATCATCCTGCTACAAACACAGGCGCATGCTGGCTTTATTCACACCTGCCTGCCTGTCCTGCTGGGCTGCGTTCCTGGGATTCCCCCCCCCTCCCCGCCAACAGTGGTGTCCCGCAGGCAGCAGGATTGCCCAGGCAGTGGGGTAGATGAAGCACCAAGCGGAAGGGAGGTGTGTCAAACCCTGCGGGTGTGTGAAGAACCTGACAAGCTCAGGAGACAAATTAATTTCCTCTCCGTTGCCTGAGGGCAAGTAGAGGCTCCCCAAACAATTTTATAGCAGTAGCAGAGATCAGCTAACAGGCAGGCTGGGACGTGGCCATCACCATGAGACCAACAGGAGAAAAGGGGGAAAGGAGAAAGAGGAATTCTGTTATACAGTATTTAAGAATAGGGGTTTCATAGGGTGAAAGAATAGGGAAGGGAACTTGGTGCACTTGGAAGGTTTTTGAAAGATACAATGTTTAAGGAATGAAGTGATATGAGCCTGCCTCTGTCAGGGGCTTTCCTTCTCCTAATAATTTCAGCTTTCACACATGGACAATGAGCCAACTCTTATTAACCTCATTCACTGGTCTCGACTGTTGTCTCATTCCCTGCAAGATTGTGGGCTTAGACAGAAGAAGTGTCCGATCAACAAAAATGCTGATTTAAAATGTGTATGAATCTTAAACATTAAAATTCTGCTTTACATTTCATCATTTATTTGGGATTTATTTAATTGGGAGGATCAAAAAGCTATCTAGAACACTACAGAAAACATTCTGTGCATAGATGCAATTAGACCTAATTTTGTGTAGAAGGGATCTAGGTAGGTTTTGGAGGATCAGCCAATCAGTGGCCACTAGTTTTGATAGCTATTCAGGCAATCCTTTTAGTGTTTAGAGGGATGTTGCAAAGAGAACTGGCTAGACAACAGCTTTCTTCAGCATGTCACAGGAAAAGGCAAGTACCTTTTAACACTTAATGAAGCCCTTGGTTACCACGGATTCCATTCCTTGCGTGTCCCACAAGCCCAGAAGACCAAGGAAAGGCCACGGTAGAGATCTGGTGCACTTAAACCTCACATTCACAGCCTCTAAAAAGCTTGTGTGGGAAGACCTTCTTGTGTTACCAGTCAATGTCCTTTCATTTCTCCTGGCTGCCTGAGCTGCTTTCTCTATCCATACCACAGGTGGTATTCAGCAGGTTCTGACCAGTTCTGGAGAACCGGTAGTGGAAATTTTGAGTAATTCGTAGAACCGGCAAATACCACCTCTGACTGGAGATTTTACAGTATCCTTCCCCTGGCACTCCCACCAAGCCACGCCCACAGAACCAGTAGTAAAAAAGTTTGAATCCCACCACTGATCCATACCGTCTACGTCAGCCTTTGGAAGTAGTTTTGCTTCTACGGAAATCACTTAGAGAAAGGTTTCTAACATCCCTTCAAAAGCTGCCAGCAGGATGGCCTGCCCAATTGTTTTCCTTCCCTGACAGATTCAGAGCAAAGATCTGGGGACTATGGGGCACTTTGCCTAGCTATCTTTGTGTTGTTTTGCTTTGTTTTCCCCTTCTCTTTGGTTGCCAGCCATAAAGCAGTTGTGAATGCTGACCTACTTAAGATAGCCTATGGGCGGTTCCCCTGACCCTTCACCCCAAGGTATCAACCCAACTTCCTCAACCATTAGACTCATCTCTTTGCCACTCTCTGAATTCCTCGTGTGTATTAATCTCCTGAATTTGCTCTCTCAGTTAGTTGATTTCTTTCTTCCATAATGAGAGGAATGGTAGTACTAACACGAGTCAACTTCAGGTGATTTCAGTAAATGGGATGCTATTTCCACAGGAAAGCGCGGGAAAAATAGTGCTTGGTTTTTCTTGGCAGGTAAGACAATGAACATATAGCCTTTCTATAGGATCTAATTTCCCAACTGCTGCACTTATTGGCCTCAGAAATCTCCTTCATATTGCTACAGTGCTGTTCCTTATCTTCATTTCATTTACCCTTACCTCTTCTGTTTCATTTTCAGATTGGTTTCTATATTAAACATTCTTTCCCAATCTGATAGTCTTCAAATGGTTTGAGTAGAAGTCCCATTAGCCCCTAGCTGAGTTATGAGGGGATATTTATTTATTATTAAGTTTATATTGCCACCAATTCACTAAAGAGTCTGATGCTTAGAATCACAGTTCCAAAGGTTTGGAAACTATTAGGTTGCAGGAAACAATTTTTACTTTGCTTTACTAAAATCTTAATCTGTTTGGCCTAGGTTATTTCTAAAGGCCTGGATCATGCTCTGATTTCTTGACAATTGCAATAGATGGAAGATAGTCTATTATGGTATTGACCTTTAATGCTAATGGCATGAGACTGGCTTATTTGAAGGAACACCTTTCTCCAATTTACCAGTCCCACCAGATCTCATAAAATAAGCATGTTACAGGTTCTAAATGTCTTGAGACCTACATTTGGCAGGTTCTAGGTCAGGGCTGTCAAACTCGCGGCCCACGAGCCAAATGCATCATGTGCTGGCCATGCTCATGCCCAGCCTTTATATATCATTAATCAATTTAGCCCTTGCAGGTGTGATAGGCCCTTCCCACCGCCTTCCATCTGTAATTAACTCTGTTGTTTTTGCTTTTGTCATGTTGGTCAAAGGAGCCTTATCTCTTCTTGTTTTTTCCTCCCTTGCCAGACCCAACCCAGAATGCTTATCTCTAGGAGGTGATGTTAAACTGCCAGCTATTGCAATTTGTTGCCTTGTGGTCGGCCTGGCTTGTTCTTCATTATTCCTGTCTAACTTGAGGCAGCTCTGCTGGACTCCTCTGTATTTGGACAGGCCTGGCTGTGCCTTCATAGGATGAATCCACATGCCCAGGGATGGGGGGGTGGGGGGGTGCCATCGGTCCCTGCTCCCCAATGGGAAATGATCTCTGCTTCTCCTACAGGGTCTTTCCTGGTGTCTCAATGCTTGGTAGGTCGGTGGTAGTTTGATATGCCTATTGATGGAATTGCTGTTGGAAAATCAGGCTTCTTTTAGAAGGCATCCTCTTTTAATTATATCACGCATGCAAGGGCTAAATTGATTAATGATATATAAAGGCAGAGATCTCTGTAATGATAGCTTAATACTCTGACGATGTCAGCAGAGGCTGATGAACGCTTAGTAAGTACAATAAATGTAATTTTAAGTTCCGGAGATTGCAGGATGTCTGTTTCTTCTCATATGTACTGTATGTATGTATGTATATATACATATACATATATATATACATACATATACATATATTGTATATATATATATACATACATACATATACACATACACACACATACATGTATATATATACATATTCCATATATATATATATGGAAACCAGCACAAGCAAAATATGTGCAAAGTGAGAGAATTGGCTTTAGATTAAATTTGCTTCTGTTGATCAGCTTCTTTCATCTTATTTTTACTAAAATCTGTTTATTTCTGGGACAGAAGTTCTCATCAAATGAGCACATCAAGTAAACTCAGTGAATGGACACTAGTTGCTGTATAATGGCACAATTCTTTAATTTTCTAGACCGTGAAAATCTGACCTTCTTGATCCGCCTCCTTAAAAAAATATTTCTGGAATGTTGATATGCTAGAAAACATGGCTCCTGCATTTTCCATGGTCCAAACCAAGCAAATTCCTGATCGGATAGCTCAGTGATGCTCAGAGTCAGGGAAAGCTGCCAAGGGGTAGGGCCTGAAATGCCAGGTAGGCCAGAGAGCAGGGATGCCATGCAAGCTGATGAGGGGCTACCCCCACTTTCTGCACAGTCGGGCGTTTCCCTGGCAAGTTCTGACAGACGAGGCCTCACCTCACCCCAGCGGGAGATCCACAACGGATTGTAAACAGGGAGACTCCACCGGTGCCTGAAGGCAGGGAGGAGAAAAGATGTCAGATATTTCTGCCAAGAGAGAGCCCTAGCTGTGGAGAGAGAGCAGTATTTCAGCTATTCACGAGGTAGGAGGAAATTTTAGGTGGCGGCACAAAGTGTCGCAAGCACAAAATTTCCATATTCCTAAATCCCTTTTCAAATAATGTGAAGAATCAGTCTGTTGCCTTTAAACATCCTTCCTTCTCTTGCAATGGGCTTTCAGGATTCAGTATCTGGTTGTATAATCTTTCCGTTCTTATGCACCAGCCCTATTCACAATTTTATGATGCTCCAAATGACACTGTTTTCTGTTTAGAGCACTTACATCTTTCCCTACCACTTCTTGCATCATTTTAATTTCCAGAATTTGGGGGGGGGGGGGACGACGACAACTGCCTGAGTCCTATGGAAAAGTGACAAGAGGAATCCTCCATGCAAAAGTGACCTGAGGTGCACTGAGCCCCCGTGCCAAGAATACACATGGATGAAGCCTGGCCTTCCCTTGCTGCAAAGATATCCCAATGGAGAGAAAGAGGGAGGCAGAATTTTCCAAGGAAGCCAGTTGGGTGGGTGGGTGGGGAAATGGAGATGGTTCAAGGAAAGGGGGAAGGAAGCAAGAAAAGAATTTCCAAGCAGTTGCTCAGCTCAGCTGCTTCCATTCTCCCAAAGCATCTACACTCACATAAGTGGCCGCAAGCATGTGCAGCTGGTGTTCCAGATAGCGAGTAAGGTCGTACATCTGCTGGATGGACTGTCTGGTGGTCACTTGGTCCGTGCGGTTCAGGGCAGGCACCCCAGGCAGGTTCCAAAGCGTGGCACACAGGAAGGCAAGGATCCCCCACGAATCTCCTGCAGGGAGCACACTTGTAAGGAGCTGTGGGCAAAGGGAGCACTGTGACCGGGGGAGCAAAGCCTGCATTCCCCATCCCTCCTTCCTCCACATCCCGCCACTCCCTCGAGAAATTATAGGAGAAAAGGACTTGCCTTGTTCACTCCCATGTATTTTCCCCAAACCCATTACACAAATCAAATCTACATGCGTGGCTCACACCCTGGGAACAGATAGCTCTTTTAGCTTGGAGTGATTCAGGATATTTCAATGCTGGGGGGTGCGGGGTGGGGGGGAAGAGTTCACCAGAAAACCCTTTTGTCAAGCAATCCTTATTCCCCATCAATCCTATTTCTTCCATCCTTCTTTCTTACAAGCAAAATGGCTGCATGGATTTTTGTACTAATCTGACATGTCAGCAGAATTTTTGTGTGTGTTTTTTTCCACAGGAAAGGTTTCCCATAGCAACAGTTAAAAGCAATCAAGGCCAATTAAGACTTCCCCAGATGCAAATAGCAACTTTAGAGGATGTGTGCCTGCATGTGTAGGTTTCAGTAGGGCCAGGAGAAGAAAAATCCCTACTACTATTTGCATGAAACCAAGATAGCTTTTTTCATTATAAAACATGTTACAGTACTTGGATTCACCTCAAATCCAATCCAGTGTAGCCTAAAGGTTACCTTTAGATTGTTCTAGGATGAAAAGATTCTTACATAATGTCTTTTTTCCTTCTTCTCTTTTGGAAATTCCTATTCTTGTTTCCTGCCCATATAGTGCTAGTAGATTCTGAAGATTTCCAGGTCTCTCTGGAAATATGTATGTCAATTTTGATTCCTGGCAATTGCCAGGACTAGTCCCTGCAGTTTTCCTGGCAACATTTTTTTGGAAATGATTTGCCATGGCCTCATTCCTAGGGTATACAGAGAGAGACTGGCCTAAGACCCCTTAGCTGGCTGCATGCCTAAAGTAGAATTAGAACTCATGTTCTCCCGGTCTCTAGCCATTATACCAAACTGGCCCTCTTATTGTTAAGGGGAACACTGTCTCCTTAAGGATCCCATACGAATTCCCAGTGAATGTTGAAAGCTGAGGCAAAGGCTTATTTTCAGCAAGGCATAATTTTAAGTGATCGAATATTTGACAGAATACAACAGACTAGTCAGAGATTGCGTGTTAGTGATTTGAGTTCATTGATGTACATTAAACATTGTATGTTTTATAGACAATGAATGAATTTTTGAAATACGTCCATCATATACCTTAAACCATGGGTCCCCAACCTCAACGCCAAGGTCCAGCACTGGTCCATGGCCCACTAGGAACCGGGCCGCACAAGCAGTGCAAGTCCCTTCCACTCATATGCAGGATGCCTGCACTGTGTGAAACCATCACACACACACACACACACACACACACACACACACACACACATCTTCCACAGAAGAACCACTCTCCACGGAACCAGCTCCTAACTCCCAAAAGGTTGGGGACTGCTGCCTTAAGCTACAGCTTTTCTGTCAAATATTTAACTATTTGGCTGAAATAATGCTCTTAGCCCAAAAGAGAAACTCTATTTCCTAAGTTTATTAGCACACCATAAATGATGTAATTCTAAAAAAATAAAACTTAGCATTTTGAGAGTGAAATTTTGGATGCTATTACAAAAGATAAATACGGCCAAAAACTCTAAGTAATATGAAACATTATATGGAAGAGTAAGGCACATTCCTGCATTGTTAGGAATTCCACAAAAAATATTCTTCATTTAGTTTGCTTGGTGTTTCTGTTTTCCTGTCGGAGACAGAAATATCTAAAATATATATCTTTATTTCCAGATCAAGGATAGGAATATGGTTATGCCTGTAAAGCTGCCATAAAAATCTAGCGCATTACTCATGCCAATGCCTCCCACTTGGGTGAGTCACCTACAAAGCACGCAGCCCGCCCCGGCCACTCGCGCTTCATTAAAGACTATCCCGTGGCATGTTTCAGGGTACGCCACACCCAAGCCTAGCCCAGCCTCACTGATTCCATCTTACCTCAGTGCTTCCGCTGTTCTTCTGCCCACCAGGGACAGCAGTGCCCACTCATTCTCCCTCCCACGCAACCCAGAGATTTCCTTGCCTTTTATATAAATTCTGTACGAATCTGTATCACTTTCCTTTTGTAAGTTTGAAGAGAGCAGGGGTGGTGTCTTAACAAAAGGAGCTTAAAGATATTTTTAGTCCCAAATGGATGTCAGGTATAGAGTACCTCCTGCCTGATTCTTGATCATTCTTTCTAAAGAGAATGGAGGAGGCTTTGGAAGCCCCTTGCTGTGGCATGAGAAATTCTGTTTCATCACCAATGACGTTTGCCAAGGAAATATTCGATGTCCCACCCTTGTCCTCATTCTGGAAAGTTCCACTTAGCTGCTAGGCCCTCAGATATGTTGTCAAAACAATTGTCCTTATAGTGATTGTATTCATCACTACTGCCTAAGAAATGGCAGTGGCCAACAACCAGCAACCAGCAACCTGGCTCTATAAGGTAGGGGGAGAATAGTAATGCACTGGCGAGAGTTCCCAGATAGCTCACCCCCATAGTTTATCAAGCAAATGCACCAAGATAAATTCCTTGTGTGTCTAATCACACTTGGCCAATAAAGAATTCTGCTAGACTGTATAGCTATCAGACTTTTTCTTCAAAGAGTCAATACTTGTGGATGGGAAAAGAGTGGAACATGATGAAAAAAATGACAAGCCCCATCCTTTTGAAAAAGTTGCATTGAATAAGATGGATGGAAACGCTTAGATGCTTAAAAGAAGGTGCTAGATTTTCTGGAGGGAAACATCACTAGTCTCTATAAACATTGGTGCCCTTCAATGTTTTTTGGAAAATGCTAGTCATGTAAAAGGAGAAGTGTCAAAATCAATATTTAATATTTATATGAATAAAGGGAAAATACAGTATTTATCCTATAAACTATGATGGACATGTCTCATCTATATTTTTCTCCACAAAGCCAAAGAAAAATTAAAAATATTTTATAATACTTGAATTCTGAAATATATCTGATTTGATGTTGAATCTATTTGTATCTTACAACAATGATTTCAATGTGCTTCTGACAGCACACAGAGATTGTTAACCATTGTAAAAAAAAAAATCTTCACATTCACATTACTTTTTAATCTCCTGTTATATGAGCCAAACAGTTAACTAAGATAAGAACAAAGTCTCCCTCAAATTGAGTTTGACATACCTAGGTTGTTTTCTTGTAATACTGAAGTCTGGTATTGCTTTTGGTCTCCCATCAAAATAATATGCAGGGTTTACAATGTTGATGTGGCTTTTAGATTAGTGAAGGTAAAGTGGGTGCTACCACAAATAAATTATTTTACATCCCACTGTGTTCATTTGAAATCTCTCTCCACTCTGTCTTCTAAATTTTGCTTTTCTGGGATGGGATGTCTCAGAAAAGACAGCATTAAAAAAATGATCTTTACTAGCAGAAAAGAACAGTATTTCCTGCCAGATATCTCAGTTTGAATGTGACCACAAATCACATTAGCACTATGAGCCACAGCATCTTCCTGGAAATTCACTGTGAAATAAAGTTGTACCTGGTCTAGTTTTCCTTTCAGGCTTCTTGCTTTCCAGGTTAAGTTTCCCCTGCATTTAAGAGATGGGTGAATAACCATTTCTTTGCATCTCTCGTAAAATCTGCCTTGCTGAAGGTTGTCAGCATAGTTTCCATCTTTTTGAGACTGGAAATAAAATACTGCAGCATAACACGTAGCTAAAGTAAGTTTGGCGCCATTCAAAAGAAAATAAATCTCACAACCCCCAAACAGGAAAAACTTTGTACTGCCCGTTTGTACATGATGCCCTGCTTTCCACCTCTTGCTTGATCGTGTGGTTTTGCAAAGTGTTCAGCCTGGATACCAGTCACTAGAAGCCACTTGCCCATCCCTATTCTAAGGGCAGTTTTAACCGAAGGCGCCATCCATTCTGAATCAGAACATTTAGTACCTGTGAACTAAATTAGGGCTATCCTAATCACCATGCTGATTGCCAGTGGACTACAGCAAACAAGAAACTGGCAGACACGCTAAGGATGATTCATTTGCTTTATTCACATAGCTTTTCTGACAGCTTTTGATCGAGTGTGGTTATTCGGCCTCAGATTGTCTCTTACTCTTCCTTTTTAGACAAATGGGAGTCTTTTTTTTCTTTTCTTCAAATGACCCTATGATATCAACTATTTCTACCACTACCTATGCATAAGACCAGCCACACTACTGATCATTACTCTTTCTTCTTCACTCCTTACATTTCCCAAAATGCACATTTAGTGGAAGGCAACTTAGGTGTTCCAGATTTAGAACAGTTTTCTCCCTTCTTCTGACACAACTTTGGTCATGGATGCAGTCTAGAAGATTTCATCAGTGATGGGACCGACGACATGGCCTCGCTCAAATCTGCCCAGCTCCAACAGAGGCTTCGGTTTCTGCGGTCAGGTCCTTCCCCTCTGCTCAGGCGTCTCTTTCCGCCAGACCATTTTGGCTCGGAGTACAAGAGAGGCTGATCACGTGGTTTTCATAGAGACCTCTGTCCATAAAGGGCTGACTAGCACCTGTCAAAATGTTTGCTGGGTCTTAATGTCAAAGTGCTTTTTAAAAAGAACACTAGACGTGGTTTTTTTTTCTTGCTAAAAAAATAACTTCACTGCTCTTTTGAACGTATGATAGTCCTATGCTACGCAGGAAGTCAGTTTAAACCAAGAAAGAAAGCCTGGTTTTGCCAGATGTTTGTTCCTGATTCTGACATCAATGAGTGCATTAGAGGCTTTTTGTTTATTTTTGTGTATTTATTAGATTTTTCTTGCACCTTATTTTTATAAAATACATAAGCTGGCAAACATACACAATACTCCTTCCCACTCCTGCTTTCCTCACAATAATCCTGTGAAGTGAGTTGGGTTGAGAGAGACTGATTGGTCTAAGGCACGCGTGTCAAACTCATGGCATCACATTGCCGTCACGTGACATATTGCAGCATTT